GACATAAGAAACGTAGCGAAACAATGTCGGAGTGCAAAACATGTAAAGTTCCATTACGTGTACCAAAATGCTTCGAAAGATACCATACGGTTGAAGACTATTGATTTACTGTAAATTATTATTATTATTATTATTATTATTATACGTTTTAATAGTTTTATAATATTTTATAAGTTATAATATAAATTAATAATAATAATAATAATAATAATAATAATAATAATAATAATTATTATTATTATTATTATTATTATAATTCTGTTCATTCATGATTCGTTCGAAATTATTGATCAAACACCTGACAAAATTAAGCCAGTTGTATCTCAGACATGTGTTTACATTCCGCAAGATGTGCGCGATTGGCACAACTTCAGACGTTTCGAGCAACCGTGAAAAGACTCGACGCGTGTCCGACCTCTTTGTTCTTTGTGTTACACGTGATTGAAACTTAACTCGTAGCACAAGGGGTTAAACATGCGTATCAACGAAAGCACGTTCACCGTAAGGAGTTCTCTAATTGACGCGAGAAAGCTATTTTGTCTTCGAATTTTCATAAAACATTTCACGAGAACGAGAATTTCTCGCGAGGAAAACTCGCTAAACAATCTAATAGTATCAGAACGTATTCAGCGAAATGTTCTTATATCCGCTTCGTTCCTCGTTCGCGTTCGTCAGCAGCGATATTACCGCGGAAGGGTTTATTACCGCGTCGGACGTGGACGCCTTTGTCTCGAGAGTCGTAACGAGTTTTCACGACGGGTCAACGTTCCGGTGTTTACACCTCCGATTTCTCATCTGTCGAGAAGTCGCGCGTGCTTCAATTATATTTCACGCCGTTCGTCGCTCGCGCGAGAATTAAGCGTCCGGGGTCACGTAGATTCGCTGCAATACCCAGAGAGCGAGAGAGAGAGCGAGAGAGAGCGAGAGAGAGAGCGAGAGAGAGCGAGAGAGAGAGCGAGAGAGAGCGAGAGAGAGAGCGAGAGAGAGCGAGAGAGAGAGCGAGAGAGAGCGAGAGAGAGAGCGAGAGAGAGCGAGAGAGAGAGCGAGAGAGAGCGAGAGAGAGAGCGAGAGAGAGCGAGAGAGAGAGCGAGAGAGAGCGAGAGAGAGAGCGAGAGAGAGCGAGAGAGAGAGCGAGAGAGAGCGAGAGAGAGAGCGAGAGAGAGCGAGAGAGAGAGCGAGAGAGAGCGAGAGAGAGAGCGAGAGAGAGCGAGAGAGAGAGCGAGAGAGAGCGAGAGAGAGAGCGAGAGAGAGCGAGAGAGAAAGAGAGCGAGAGAGAGAGCGAGAGAGAAAGAGAGCGAGAGAGAGAGCGAGAGAGAAAGAGAGCGAGAGAGAGAGCGAGAGAGAAAGAGAGCGAGAGAGAGAGCGAGAGAGAAAGAGAGCGAGAGAGAGAGCGAGAGAGAAAGAGAGCGAGAGAGAGAGCGAGAGAGAAAGAGAGCGAGAGAGAGAGCGAGAGAGAAAGAGAGCGAGAGAGAGAGCGAGAGAGAAAGAGAGCGAGAGAGAGAGCGAGAGAGAAAGAGAGCGAGAGAGAGAGCGAGAGAGAAAGAGAGCGAGAGAGAGAGCGAGAGAGAAAGAGAGCGAGAGAGAGAGCGAGAGAGAAAGAGAGCGAGAGAGAGAGCGAGAGAGAAAGAGAGCGAGAGAGAGAGCGAGAGAGAAAGAGAGCGAGAGAGAGAGCGAGAGAGAAAGAGAGCGAGAGAGAGAGCGAGAGAGAAAGAGAGCGAGAGAGAGAGCGAGAGAGAAAGAGAGCGAGAGAGAGAGCGAGAGAGAAAGAGAGCGAGAGAGAGAGAGAGCGGGAGAGAGAGCGAGAGAGAGCGAGAGAGAGCGACAGAGAGAGCGAGAGAGAGCGAGAAAGAGAGCGAGAGAGAGCGAGAGAAAGTGAGAGAGAGAGAGAGAGACAAAACAGCCGGACGATAATCGTCGAGTCTTTCCCGGGAATTCGAGGAGATCGAACGACCCGGACGGCGGGATCCTTCTCGGACGGAGTCTTTTGAGCAACGTTTCATCAACGGCCGCGTATTATACGCGTTTCAACGGGGATCGATTCGCGTCGAAACGATCGCCGTGGGCGTCGAGACGCGGCGGACAGAGGACGCGTTTCATTAGAGGCACTTCGAAAGCTCGGAGAGTCTGCATATTCCGGCGATACTTCGTTCCGCAAACAGAATCCGGCGGAAGCGGACCGGAAAGCTGGGTGTTTCTCGGAGACACACACTCCGACCGGCTTCTTTTTCACCGCGGGAGTTTCCAATCAGAATGTAACGACGCGATCGCGTGCGAGGGCGAGCTGGTGAAAGGGGGCGCGGGGACCGGAACTCAATCAGCGAGAGTTCGGTAAGCTGTGACAAACGAACCGAGATATTTAAGCGGGTCGGTGACAGGTTAATCCGACCCGCCGCTATTTGCGAGCTCCGTGCGCCTCCTTTCTTCCTCGTTACAAACGCGAGCCAAGCCGGAAACGAACGGTTCATTGAGGCGCGTCCCGATTTTAACCTTTTAGGCCCGACGCGCCACTATAGTGGCTTTCGCGGATGTCATCTTTCAGAACGACACGCCACTATAGTGGCTTTCGCGGATGTCATCTCTCTGGACGACGCGCCACTATAGTGACTTGCTCTAGTAGCTCACTCGCGCATCGTCTTCATATGCATTGTTTCACATTTCTTTTGTCTTCGCATCGATTTACAACAGTCTACAGGCTGTCTCTTATACACATCTCACCTCGCACTGTTTTTCGTTAATAACTCGTTAACGGCTGTCTCTTATACACATCTAGAAGTGTATAAGAGACAGTCCTCGGGCCATTTGAAGCAACTTCTTCCTTTACAAAAATGTTCTCCGAGGCACCGTTAACGAGTTATTAACGAAAAACAGTGACCAATAAGAATCGAGTACGGCTGATGCGAGGCGGCCCGGCCAATCAGCGCGCGAAGCTCAATTCCGCTCATTGGCTCGGTCGCCTCGCGCCAGCTGAGCTGGGATTCGACCGCCTCGACCGCTGGCGCCGCTGGCTCGGCCGCCTCGCGCCAGCTGAGCTGGAATTCGACCGCTCGACCGCTGGCGCCGTTGGCTCGGCCACCTCGCACTGTTTTTCGTTAATAACTCGTTAACGGTGCCTCGGAGAACATTTTTGTAAAGGAAAAAGTTGCTTCGAATGGACCGAGGAACCCGCCACTTTCGGATTGCAAGACATTTTTGGGACACCCTGTATATACAGACAGAATAATATACAGTATGAGACTCTGTACAGTACACATCAGACTCTGCCGTCCAGAGAAATAGCCTCGCGCAGAATTCAGCCGTACCTAAAAGGTTAAGCGGCGCGAGCATCTCGATCGTTTGTATCTGCGATGGTCAGCGAACGAGCACGACCGGACCCGCCGGATCATCGCGCGCGAACATAAATCATCGAACTTCCCAAGTATTTTTTAAGTCGTTATCGCCATTATCGCCGAGGAGCGTTTGTCCCGACGCACTCGTTGCCGCGGCAACGCGAAAGTTCGAACGAGTTCGAGCCGCTTTCAGGTGGTATCTCTCGTTAAGAAAGTATAAAAATCGATCGGATAAAGAGAGAGAAAGAACGGCGGTGGCAATTGCAACGGACGAGGGTAATAAAAGTGGATGCACCTCGGATAGAGAGACGGCGACGATCGCCGGCCGCTCGGCCATCGTAATTCGAACGGTAACGCGCGTAATTCGGGTCTAACGGAGACGGCGGGAGGCGAGATGAAACCTTTCAGGGGTATTCGACGTGCATATTCCATTTGGAAGTTCGCTCGGATTCGCCCGTTTTCTATCGACGAGTGAACCGTCGATTGAAAACTGACGGTCGCGCGATCGAAGGGAGTTTCCTACGAATGGAACGTTGAGCACACCCTCGAGCTTAAATTTACCCCTCGGAACCGATAAGGCAGATTCTGCCATCCACGCGTTATCACGAGAGAGAGTCTTGTTATCGACGATTTATCAGACGCGGAGAAGGCAGATGCCTGCACCCTGGAATTCCCGCGTTTTATCCACGGTCGAACCGTTGTAACGACAGCCAATTAAACCATTTCGCTGGCGGGGATGTTCATTTGTTGTACCCTTCGATGCTACTTCAGTCGACGGTCCTCCAAGCAATTAATGATCGTTCGGGAGAAGCGGACGCTGCTGCGATCGATTCCGCGCGGCTTTAAAAGCGGTAAAACAGCAGGTGTTCTCCCATCGAATACACAGTTACGTCTCTCTAATTGACGCTCGGATTGCGCACAAAAATGGACAATTTGGGACGAGGGGATACGATTAGTCGAGGCTCGCGGTGCGTTTTCATAGTTACGAATTGTCAACTATAAAAACTATTAAAAATATAAACGAAAAATATAATTATATAATATAATATAATATAATATAATATAATATAATAATATAATATAATATAATAATATATAATGTAATATAATATAATATACATAATATAATATATATTATATAATATAAAAATAAAAAACTATTAAAAAAAGAACTAACTCGAATAATCGTATCCCCTCTTCCCAAATTGTCCGTTTTTGCGCGCAATCTGAGCGCCAGTAAGGGAGAGACATTACCGTACAACGTCGTTAAAACGAAGGCGCAACCGCGGATTAATCGCGGTGTAATCTTCGGGATCTTTAAACGGTCTTAGCCGAGAACACCGGAGCGGCTCGAAAGTTACGAGTAATTTCGCGATTTAATTTCACTTCTGTTGCGGCCTGCTTTCGGTCGCTCCCTTCCCTCCCTGCACCGGTGTCCGCGGTGTTCGCGGATAGGAAATCGCGCGAGATCTGGTTAATAATGAAAGTTCGCCCGGGATCGTTATCGCGATCCCCGGCGGAAAAAAAGTATCAGACGCGGAGGAACGTTCGGCCGAGGAAGAGAGCCAATTGGCTGAAGCGCGCGGCTCGGATCGTGCGATACACGGGCCGGCGGCCGATCGCTGCTTTATGGAAGCAGGCCGGGCGGCTAACTTTGTTACTCGTTTGTTGTAGGATACTCGACGGCGGCGCTCCTCGCGATCTTATTTTGCATCCCGTTCGCCCTCCGAGTTCTTATTCACAAAGAGGCGGGCCGGTGGAGCAATTGGGCGCAGGCCTTCTACCACGCTCACCTCGAGCTGTTTCTGGGCAACGGATGCTTGGGTATATGATCTGTTTTATCGTTTCGTGGCACTCGCCCAACCTTGTCTTATATCCGTCGTCCCCTTCCGATCTGTTCTCACCGTTGAACGGTGTCCCCGCGTGCCTTACGTGCTCCTTTTCCTAAGCAGTTGCTTGTATACCGGCGACCTGGAAGATAACAACATCGAATGCATCCTCGCGTTGTTCCAGGGGTCGGAGTGATGATGCTTCTAGCGCTGACGGTTGAACGTTACGTGAGCGTCTGCCATCCGGGCCAACATACTCGTCCACTCTGCGGTCCTCCGCATCTGACAGTGGTGCTGATCCCGCTGGCAACGTTTCTGGTCTATCTGCCGAGCGCGTTCCGCGGAGAGATTACCACGTGCCTCCTAGGACCCGCCGGACCCATCATCTACCAGAAGAGGGAGAACCAGACGTTCCTCGACTCGCTGTTCTACCATGTAACTTCTTTTCTATTTTTTTTTCGTTATTATTATTATATTATTATCATTTGAAGCGTTCAAATCGCTCGGAGATTTATTTGCTTTACTCTGTGCAGGGTGTCATATAATTATGGTACTTCCGGGAAATGAGGGATTAGATTAGGGATTTTATATAATTGTTGAAATGTTAGACAAGAACGTTGTATATACAGATTTTCATCGGGTTAAAATTATTATTAAATTATTATTATTATTAAAATTATTATTATTAAAATTATTATTATTAAAATTAGCGAGGAATACATTTTTGTTGAACTTTTCCCTGACATGGTAATCGTAATATGATACTGTTCACGGCGATTTTTCTCTCTTGTATACAGGATGTCCTATAATTATGTTAACACCCGGAAAGGGGCGATTCCTGAGGTTATTTGAAGTAACTTTTTCCTTAGCGAAAATGCAATTCGTTGCTTCGTGTACGAGTTATTAATGAAAAAACAGTGACCAATGAGAGGCGAGCTCGACTGGCGCAAGGCGGCTGAGCCAACGGGCGCACGAAGCCCAGTTCTGCTCATTGGCTCGGCCGCCTCGCGCCTCTCATTGGTTACTGTTTTTCGTTAATAACTCGTAAACAAATGGGCGGATTGTGTTTGAGCTAAGGAAAAAGTTATTTGCAATGATCCCAGGAATCCCTTATTTCTCGGAAGTATCATAATTTTGAGATACAGTAATGTCTCCCTTACATAACCTTGACATAACCTTACTGACGCTCAGATTGTCCACTAAAATGGATAATTTGGGAAGAGGAGATACAACAAAAATAAAACAAAACAAAAAATGTTATTTTCATTTAATGTAATTTAACCTTAACTTAATAAATTTTTTCCTCGTCACTACTCGGTACAATCAAACGAGAACGTTTCTTCGGTTGAACGACATCATCTTTACTTTCTGAACCTTCTTCTTCATTCAGATTTTTTGCGTCTTCTATCCTCTTTAAAAAATCTGTAATTTTGGTTTGTTTGCCGTTTATGCCAAGGTCATTGTAGATTTCATGGTTAAATTCAAGATAGACAATTTTGCAGCTCCCTTTTGAATTTTTGGCATCTTTCAGCGGAGGGGTATATATTTATTTAACCTTAATTATAATAATTATATTTTTATGTAAAGGCACTATAGTTCATTATTCTTTCCGTCATTAATTTAAGGTAATTTAGTCTTTGAATATGTTAAACAAAAGTCATGTTATCTTTCAGCGGAAGGGTATATATTTATTTAACCTTAATTATAATAATTATATTTTTATGTAAAGGCACTATAGTTCATTATTCTTTCCGTCATTAATTTAAGGTAATTTAGTCTTTGAATATGTTAAACAAAAGTCATGTTATCTTTCAGCGGAAGGGTATATATTTATTTAACCTTAATTATAATAATTATATTTTTATGTAAAGGCACTATAGTTCATTATTCTTTCCGTCATTAATTTAAGGTAATTTAGTCTTTGAATATGTTAAACAAAAGTCATGTTATCCAGTGCCGTGGAAGTACAGTGTCGTACAAAGGTTTTTGCAATTTTCTTATCATGTTAGAGCGAAACAGTGTTGTAAGATGCCATGTTGTAGCAGGGCTACCTGTATTACATATAACTTAACAAGTGTCGTCGGTACCAAACATTAAGATTACAATAATGTCTCCCTAATTCTCGCCTAAATTGAGCACAAAAATAGACAACTTGGGAAGAGGAGATACGATTATTTGAGCCTTGCGGCTCGTTTTTATAATTGACATATAATTTTTATAATTGACAATCGGTAACTCGAGTAATCGATAATCGCAAGACTCGAACAATCGTATCTCCTGTTCCCAAATTCTCCATTTTCGTGCACAATCCGAGCGTCAATTAGAGAGACATTACTCTACATCCTTCAAGAAAAGACCAAATATACGAGAATGCGAAAACGTTAGGCTCAACTAACAAAGTTTCAACACTCACTGGAGTATACCATGCAACTTGCACGACGAAACACCCCATCGTCTTTGTAGACGCTTGTTTTTTTCTAACGCCCAACTTGTTCCCGCAGATCTACAAGGTCGCGCTGGAGGTGGTGTTCAAAGTGGCGCCGACGATCCTGCTAGCAGGCTTCAATCTGCGCATAATGATAGTCTACAGAAGGTCCTGCGATCGACGCAGACGGATGACGCTGTCGAGAACCGTCAGCAACGAGGAGGACCCGAGAACGTTCGCGGAGGAGCGAAGACTCGTGCTCCTGCTGGGCAGCACCAGCATCCTGTTCCTGGTTTGCGTCAGCCCGATGGTGATCTTGAACGTCACGTTGCGGGAGAGCAATCTCAGCCACTACCCCTACCAGGTGACGTTGCTCGTTTATTAGCAGGCATTGTCCGGCGACGAAGTGCGCGGGCAGCCAAGTTTTATCGGTCGTTATCTGGCAACTGTTTCAGGTGTTCCGAGCGCTGGCTAACTTGCTCGAGCTGATCAATTACTCGATCACGTTCTACATCTACTGTCTGTTCTCGAAGGATTTCCGGAACACCCTGTTCCGGACGTTGCAGTGGCCCTGGGGACACAACAGCCACGGCGGAAGGGGTCTGCCGATGAAACGGTCTCCCCTGCCAAGGCCGACCACCACGACCACCAACTCGCCGCCGACGATCGTCGCGACCCCCGGTCGCTTCACCAGAGCCAGCGTTTAGGCGAATCGGGGAAGAGAGTCTCCAGAGGATCTGGAGGCTCGCTTCTTCGGGAGGCCGATCTTCCGATTTCCGACGCAGGCGACTCGGCCGCAAACGAGCCAACGGATACTCTGCTCTTCGTGTTCCAAAGCTGCCACTGCGAGAACCGTCGCGACGGAATTTCGCAGTTCCGCAATTTCGTTCGTCCTCCACGCAGCTCGAAGAAACATCTCTCGACCCGACAGCGACGCCATCGTTCCGAATTCTCGCTTGCTTTTCAGCCCCGCTGAAGAGCACACGGTTCCGTTCTCGTCGAGCATCGAAACACATCGCCCTGCGCGTTTAACCGGCACGATTCCATCTCGAACCGCCGTTGAATCGCCTCCCCTAACGGCGACGCGCCCGGAATCTCGACGATTTTCCGCGTAATTGTCTCCTCGCGGAATCTGATATTTCACGCGAACGCGCTTTTTTTCCCTCCATTTTCGCGTCGCCCGCATCGATCGTACAGCTGCGAGCACTTCGCCGGGGACACGTTTTAACCCTTTCATCGGGTAACCGACGTTCGAAATTTTCGACCGCGTTCACGTTCGAACAGCGACGAAACGCGCGAGGTACAACGAACGGAAGCTATCATGGGGAAAAAGGAGCACGTTTTTCGGTCCGCGTCGGAGAGAACGCAGCGAACAGACTGCGGATTACAAAAACGGGCACACGCAATTACGAGGCAGAAGAAATAATCGAGCAGAACACGGACGGGAATCGACGCATCAATATCAGTCTATTAAAATTATTAATTTTCGCTGCCCGTACACACCGGCGTGTAATTACGCTCCATGCATTTTCCATGGAGAATGCAGAGGGGAGAATTTTAGCTGCGTAAATATTTGCGTAACTCCGTTGATTTTCTCCCGGCGGGCGTGCGAAGATTAATGAATTCGAATCGGGGTAAATAAAAGAAGAGAGCGTTTGCGCGACGATGAGGCGAGGATTAAAGAAACAGAGAAATCGCTAAGTGGCTCTTGTTTCTTGCTGTGGATGCGATCGTCTTGCACGAAGATCCACGGTCGAGTGGTTAGCAGTTTAACACACCGATACTCTCTTCCTATAATGAACAATAAGAATTCAGCGCGGCTGGATACCGATTGAAGAATCGATCGGTTACCGATTCTAAAACGATTGTAAAAAGCGTCGATGTAAGCTCGTTGCGTAAAAATCGATCGTCCATTGTATCGCGTTGCGGCCGTTATCATTGCAATCGCTATTATTTGCCTAGTCAGCGACGAGCGTCTAACGATTCGCAATTTGTCGGCCGGAAACACGGGTAGCGCGGGCCGTTTTGGCAGCGTACGGACACGAGAGCGGGCTCGTTTCTCTCGGCTGTACACGAGGCCGCGGAACAAGTGGACTGACAGTGCCAGGAATATAGATGCGAAAGGTAGCGTCGACGCGTCGACGGAGAGAAATTAGAATGCCGATTCCAATGAAATAGTTCCGAGCCTCCCCCCCCGGTATTCCGCGGACGGCATACTTTCCGCGCGCTCCACCGCGAGCATTTCCGCCCACCCGCCCCGGAGAAATTCGAATTAACGCGCACCGCGTCTTCGCTTTTCCATATTCCGTGAATTAAAGCGATCCGCGTGGGCGGCGCCGAGACGTTTCGCCCGCATTACACGGCTGCTGGCACTGTCTAATGCGAATTGTAATCTGCGACATCCGGCGGCCGATCTTCGCGGAGCATTTGGAACGCGGGTCCGCGAAAGGAATCGCCGAAACAATTAGGAAAATGGGCGCGCGTTCAATTTATCTTTTAAGCCTGAACAGAACCTCCGAGGGTTTTTCACGCGGTATTTCATTTCGCGGAGAATACGGCGTCGCCGATGTGGGCGCATCGACCCCTTTGATAGAATTTTTCGCGGCCGTTAACAATAGCTGCGAGCTGAATAATTTAACAATCGCGTATATTATACCGTTCTGGAAGCGTTCCCCTATATGTTTTAAGCCTAAGCAGAACTTCCTGCCGTGTCTAGTTTCCACGCGACACCGCGGATAAATAACTCATTGCCGCGGGGGCTCGCGCGTTTTTTTCGCGAACCGAGCACGATAAATTATTTTCTGCCGCGGGATTTCTGTCGCGAGCCGTTCTATATCCTCCAGCGGATGTCGCAGATTGATATCAGATTGTTCGACAGATCGTCGGACAGTGCGTGATCGCGTAATCGCGCGCAGAGCGGCGCGCGAGACATAAGTGTTCGCAATTGTTGCGAGATCGCGGTGCGAAATGCAGCGGCGCGTGTGAAGCTTGCAGCAAACGTGTCGCTGGCGCACGACGAACTAGCGTTAAGTTACTCACTTCGTTCGTGTACAAATGTATTCGTGACGCAGGGAAACCGATTTAATAAAGGCCATTTATTAAATTTCCCCGAAATCTCGGACTCGTCTGCTCTCTCGACCGAAATGTCCCCCGCGACGCGGAAATTCTCTGCGCCGCGGTCCGTCGGATCCGGACGCGAGCGGAAACAACGTTACGCGGCCGCGGGTGCACGCGTGCGAGAAACGAACTTCGGAATTCCCGATATACTCTCTCTCCACGGTAGTAACTAAAGCCTTCGCACGTAACGATTTGATTCCAGGTTCTCGATTTACTCTCGCAGACCCAATCGCGAACGGAATAAATGTCTGCGACGGCGGACGGATCTCCGTAACGGGGGGAGGGAATCTCGTCGGGGCGACGGGGATCGATCGTTTCGAAATTCTGTGTCTCGCAAACGACCGGGGCTATTCGACGAACAAAGCCGTGGCGACGAAAAATAAGGACATGCTTTGCATCCCTGATAACGGATTGCCGCATCTCGGAATCTACACGGTGTTCCGTTTCAATCCTCTCTCTCTCTGACGCTCGGTTAAATCGAAATTCGGGGACCTTCCCGCACAGCCTTTTGATCTCCAGAGCTTTCTTTTATACAGCTGTTTGTTCGGACACAACGGATGATCGATGGTAACAGGGAATACCAATTATTTTTTTTTTGGATAATTCGAAATGTCCTGTGCTCGAGCATCGGGGAATGTAAAATCTACTCGTAGTCTGTGCCCGCGTGGGTCGACGTTGCAGTTTGTCAACGTTGAAAGCATTCCTGAGACATTGATCAAGGCGAGGGTTGCTGTTAAATAAGGAAGAATTTCGGGGGTGCGCAGAGCTCTGGAAATATTTAAAGAGCAGGGGACGGTTGCACGGAGGAGAAGAGGGATGGTCGCACGAGGCGGTGCATCCTATCGAAATTTTTGGACTGCGTGGCACTGGTGGCGGTAGACAGGGTCATCCATGGTGGGGGTCGGTCTTTGGGTGGGCGTTGCTGGGTCGATACAGGGTGGCTTCGCCGTCGGTCGCACCGCGAGGATAGCACCGTGGAGCCGAACCAACGAACGAGCCAACGTTTGCTGTATCTCTCGCTAACCCTCCTTCTGGATGACCTTTCTCATACTCGGTATTTCCTTCTGGCAACGACGTTTTCTTCCTCGTCCACCGGTCGCTCCGCTTCGACGAGCAGTCTAGACATTGCTTGCGAACACCAGTTGATCGAAAGTGCCTTCACCCATCGCCGCTGTCTTGTCATCAGCTTTAGGTCCGCGACGCAGCACGCTTTCATCGAACGGGTCGACGCAGCTACTCCGAAAGATTTCCGTGGACTGTCTGTTGGCGACGGATTATTTTGACCAAAAACTCGAGGGCGAATAGCTTGACGCTTTCGGTTAATTCGCGACAGGGTCGATTAGAGCAGCGTCTGGCAACTCGAAATTATGCAGATGAATAGAAAGTTGGGAATCTTTAACGCCTTAAGTGGCGAGAAATGATCGCAGAAGTTCCTAAAAAACCTAAGCGATTTTTTCGAAGAAATTGAAACCAGAATTAATTTATCACGGTGAAAGATATCGTAATTATTTTGCATGCTAAACATCATAGTTGCAGAATTCAGTTCGTTCGAATGTATCACAATTAAATTGAATTTTGAAAATGTATAAAATAATTAGGGTTATCCAGATCTGACGGAAGCGACATTCGACGTGTTAGATGTGACAGGCAAGCCGAGGTTGTACCGCTAACTTAAAGAACGAGGATATTCTTCGTGAAGTATCTGGCCACGGATTGGGAAAGACAGAGGTGCTTTTTGGTGAGAGGATCGTGATTGACGACGCGACGCCCACTCCAGAACCAACGAGGTACATATAGGGTATCCCAAAATTATGGTACTTCCGGGAAATTAGAGATTTCTGAGGTCATTCGAAGCAACTTTTTCCTTTACAAAATTGTTCTCCGAGGCATCGTTAACGAGTTATTAACGAAAAACACTGACCAATGAGAAGCGAGCTCGGTTGGCGCGAGGCGACCGAGCCAATAAGCGGACGAAGCCCGGATCCGCTCATTGGCTCGGCCGTCTAGCGCCAGTTGAGTGCTCGCCCCTCATTGGAGACAGTTTTTCGTTAATAACTGGTAAACGAAGCCGCGGATTTCATTCGTGCTAAGGAAAAAGTTACTTCGAATGACCTCAGGGACACTTCACTTCCTGGAAGTAATATAATTTTGAGATTATTAACCCTTAGCGCTCCGTTGGCTCCGCTACGGAGACATCCGTCATTTGTTCCGTAAATCCGAAGGCTCTGCTGCGAAGCCCAATGTTTTTAGCACGATTACACTGAAGATGTTATGGTTTTGTCGATGTTAGCGATTGTTATTTGTAGTGAAAACGTGAATTTTTTGCCCATTTTTATACTTAGCAACATAAAATGAATAAAATCAAACGCTTTCGCAAGGACGTGTAATCTTTTCCGCTCACAATAAGACTTCCTTTATCTCAGGTGCTTTGCTCCAAAACTGTGCCGGAGTTGCCGGTAGTGATATTTTTCAGAAAAACGCTGTTCAACTTTATTTTAGAACGTCCGAAGGATATTTACTAATTTTACTAATTTTTAATTTTTAACAGAATTCAACGGACGATTCGCGATGCTAATTTTATAATAAATCGCGTCGAAGAACACGAGGGATATATTTATTTAAGAATCGCGAAGAATATCATTAACAGTAAATTTACTCATTTCGATGAGGATGCATTTGCTGCTTGGAAATTTCGTTCACAATTCACGATGTCGATGCACCGACCTCGCACAATGTTAAGTAGATACCATTACGATTAAAACATTTTTTGCCCATTTTTATACTTGGCAACATAAAAGGAATAAAATCAAACGCTTTCACAAGGACGTGTAATCTTTTCATCTGAAAATAAGACTTCCTTTATCTCAAGCGCTTTGCTCCAAAAATGTGCCGGAGTTGCTGGTAGGTAGTACTTGAGAAACGCGTGGAGCGCTAAGGGTTATTTGAAGAATACAGTAATGTCTCTCTCTAATTGACGCTCAGATTTCCCACAAAAATGGACAATTTGGGAAGAGGAGATACGATTAATTTGAGTCTTGCGCCTTGTTTTTACAATTACCGATTCTCAACAACTATAAAAACGAGCCGCAAGACTCGAATAATCGCATCTCCTCTTCCCAGGTTGTCCATTATTGTGCACAATCTTGCGGTTTATATTTATTGTTATAAATTGTCCGTAATTACAAAAGCGAGACGCAAGACTCGAATAAGCGTATCTCCTCTTCCCAAATTGTCCAATTTTCTGCACAATCTGAGCGTCAGTTAGGGAGACATTACTGTACCTTGTATATCTTCAATTTCCTTACTAATTTCTAACATATCTTTCAACCGGAGCACGGATTGGAGGTCGGAGATATTTCGAGTTTCGTGGCAGAGTTGATTTTTGCGTCTCAAGGTCCATAGTTACTCCTCTCGAGCGAAACGACAGAAGGAAGACGGAGTTTCCGGTGGCACAGGGTTCCGAGGACCGTCCGGCTTGGGAAGAACGCGGCGACGACGTAATTTTCATCGAGGATCCTAGGACGACGGGACATCCTTCCTGGTTCACGGTAAACGAACTTCCCGGTAGTTTGCTTGGTACCAAGCGCCAACCTCGGAACCGGATTACCTGTTTCGCGGTTCGTCGTTAAAAGTTAACGGAGACAGTTGCGGCCGGCTGGTCCTCCGCGTCCAACCAGAGCACGGTGTTCTTGCTTGCCACTGGCTTTTGAAACTCTTTGATTTTTACCTGCTGGAAAGTTTTAGCAAATTCTAAGAGAAATGCGGTTGACGTTACAAGTTCTACCATCGGAGAGGTACCAACGCCAAACCTAGTAAATACTACGACTTTCTGATGTGTGTAATTTTATAAAAATGACAGAATTCAATTTATTTAGATCTCTTGTCATTTTGTTCATAGTGTACGCTAGAATTGAGAAATTTGTTCGATCATTTTCTATGATAGAATTTTTACAATTTTAACATGTTGAAAACGTCGCCAATTTGACCCCTGCACTGTATTAGTATTAATACAGAGTTAATATTAAGGATTAGTATTAACATCCATCGAATGCCACGGTAATGCCAGTAAAAATACCGAAATATATACCGACATAATACCGGTATGTGTCGCAGGTGTGGTTACAGTAATCGATCGTACCGTAACAGCGCGACTGATGATCGCGGCGCCTCCGCGGTTTATCTTTTATTTTACTGGTACGGGTCCCTGAATATAGGTAGAAATATACCGATATTCTGATATATCGGTGTGACGTCATACCGGTATTTCGGTTTCTGTAAAATTTATGAAGGTATGAATATCGATATTTCGTATACTATACCGCATTATTATTATTATTATTATTATTATTATTATTATTATTATCATTATTATTATTACACATATAGGAAAATAGCGTTTATCATATCCATTTTTCAATTGTACATGCAAATTTATACAGTGGTTTTGTTATAAACTTAATGTCTTGCAGATGCTTTTTTGTACAAATTTTTCGATTTCATTAAGTGTTCGCTCATTGGTTGTTTGACGTACTTTTCATGAAATCTTATACTACCCTTTTAAAAAAAAAAAAGTGTAATTATGAACATCAGCTATACAGGGTGTCCCAAAATTATGCTATTTCCGGAAAATGTGGGGTTCCTGAAATGATTTGAAGTAGCTTTCTCCTTTACAAAAATATTCTCCGAGGCATCGTTAACGAGTTATTAACGAAAAACACTGACCAATTATAATAAGTTCGTACTGTTTTTATCAAAGATAATTTTCTTTATTGTTTTCGTTAAGCTCGTGAAGCACCCAGGCTCCCAATTTTTCGGCAAATCCCACTGAGACACTCTTCGTCGAATTCAGAAGGTCTTCAGCTGCGGGGCGTGTCGTCGACGCCAAAATCACCATTTTTGAACTTCGCAAACCATTTCCGTGCTGTAGACTCGCCTGACACCTTCTCCGCATACGTTGCAAATGTCTCGGGCTGCTTCGGCAGCTTTTTGGCCTCGAT